ACCTATCTCGTATTTAATTTTAGATATTTTTTGCATAACACTGTCTATATCACATTTAATTATAAACTATAAACTTTATAACAATGGCTAGATGAATAAAAATAATTGCATATAAATATGACTACACCTTTCATCCAATGATGTTCAATCTGTAAAAGGCCCAAGAGCCACTCGAGATAAAGTGTTACAGTGTAAGAACTGCAGCTTATATGGATAAATAACGGTTAACCCTAGACATGAACATGGTTGTCGTGATCGAGGAAGCATGACCTTGGGAGTCGGTTTCTCTATACAACAGTTCGTCTGAACTAAAATCACTGTGTTCATCTCTTGTATACGCTAGTTATATAGATATTTATTTGTACGATAGTAATAAAAAAATGTAGCAGAAGGCCAAAAGGTGGATTGGGGAAAAGGACGGTCTTCTTCTCTCTTAATTTCTAAACTTAACTAGCCACAAACATTAATTCAAATATACCAACAATAGTCCTACCACCAAAACAACACATTCTCTCCTACCTTTCTTACTACATACACCCTAATACCACAATGTCTCTATGAAATCCTAACTAGTCCCCATATGTACATTTCAAAGTCTGTGGGAGGAGGGGAATAAAAACAATAATTTAAAAAAAAAACTATATTTACAATATGAATTAATACTATTTATATGTGATACTTCCCGAAAAGGGATATATTTGTTCGAAATAGCAAAGTGGTTTTGGACTACTGTAACCGGATAGGACAATCTAGAAAGTTTAAAACTGGTCCTAATCGTACTGGTCCTCGTCAATTGGCGAAGACAATAGGCGAAGGCAATATTTTTTAGGCAATTGATCAATAACATTACTGTATTATCTTTAGGCGTTCATTAAGGCTCACCAGTCTGTATTTATGGCTGACACCAGAAATAAAAAGAAGGCCAATGAGCATACATACCCTAGCTAAGTTATTCCGTTGGAATAACGTTGTCGTTTGGTATATGCTTTGTTTTGTTAATCTTATTATTATTGCAAAAAAATGACAATTGAAACAACATCTGTCTATTAAGGAACATGCATAGACACAGAAATAAAAAGGTTTATATATATATATATATATATAAAGGTTTATATATATGTGTGTGTGTGTGTGTGTGTGTGTGTGTGTGTGTGTGTGTGTGTGTGTATGTATGTATGTAAATTATATAAAAATGTATGTATTAATAAAAAATCCATTAAATATAAATTTCTTTGTTTACGTTTGGATGTAAAAACAATTTCGGGAGATCTATGACAGAAGAAATTGAAAGCGTGAAATTGGCTTCGCCTGTCTTTTGGACCCGGGCGGTGGAGCGTGCTAAACGGTAGCTCCCTCAGCCGTGATGGACGCAGGTTCGATATTTGCCGAAGAGCGCAAATTCTTCTTTGATTGGATTTCTTGAGCATTCAGGCCGGTAGGTGGAAATAAATAAATAAATACACCATTTAATAAATAAAATACAATGAGTTCGTTATAAATTCAAATACATATATGTGTGTGTATCCACTATAAATAACGTGTTGTGTGTGTGTTATAAATTGATTATACATATATATATATATATATATATATATATATATATATATATATATATATATATATATATATATATGTATATATATAGTCTTAATCTATCTCTATCTATATTTCTGGGATAAAATCCTCTAATATGAGATATTTTTGAAAAAATAAAAGAATGGACTGGTCGTTGATTAAGTCTGTTGAGCCGTAGTGAGCATAGAAGAACCGACAACACTTGATTTGAATATAGTGGTGAAGGTTTTGTGCAGAATCAAGTCTGTTTCGAAGACAGACTAGATGCAATCACAAGATCCCAAAGGCCTGACGATTGCATAGACCAGTTGCCATGTGTGTGTGTGAAATTTACCTAAATATAGAATAGTGGAAAATTGGAAAGAACTCTTTAGGTAAATAATCCCAAAAGCTCTTTTAGTATTTTTGTTATTATTTTTAAAAAACAGTGCTCGATACAAAAGAAGAGATAAAATATAATTAATAAGACATTTTATGTTTATATATTCTTTTTATATATATATATATATATATAATAAACAACATTTGTGTGAATGTATATATAATATTTAATAGAAAATATATATATATATATATATATGTGCCTTATATATATATATATATCTTCCATATATATATATATCAAAAGACATCAACATTATCTGTTTTACTCTTGGATACTACTTGTGTTTTTATGTCCATCGTTTTCGTCATATTGAACTGAATTTGTATTTTAATGAATTTTGTCTTGAAAATGGGACTGACGTCGACAATTCTTTCATTTTCAATTTATGGACAAAAACATGTGTGGCTTATATATATATATATATGTGTGTGTGTGGTTTTGTAGCATGTGAAAAATTAGAAAATAGGAAAGAATCGTTAGATAGTTAACAAACTCTTTATATTTTCAGAGTTGATTTAATTATTTTTTATAAATAGAGTTGGTTGGCAGCCAAGTCTGAAAAGCCCAATATCATTTAGCCCATACCTGTGGCGAGAAAAGATGGATTCGTACCTTTCTTGAAGTTATTTACGCAACCTTGAATCTATATTAGATGTTACATGTTTACACGGTCAAAGACTTCAATCTTCTATTCGTATGAATTGAATATAATAATGTTTTTTGCTGCTATGCCCCCGTTGACAGTAAAGTCGAAGACAAGGACCCAGACTGATAAAGACTAATTCCAAAGACCCCAACTGTGGAAAAAGGGGTGATGATTACAACAGATCTCAACAGTTGAACCAGCGGATGAATAGGGCTACGCATGAGGGACATGCTACAGAAGGCGCCACAATATTTATAACACAGTCAGCGGCAGTCTGTTGCAATTAACTGCATTCTGTATGTCTCGTTCCATATATACTGCAGAGGAGGGTCAGGAAATCAAGTGTGTGGGTCACTTTCTAACAAGTTGAGGTTTACCTTAAACATATTCACGCCATCCACACTTTCTTCTACTCTGTTTTTCTATCACATCCAACCAACTCTTGGAAAGCTAAACGGCCATAGGGAATGAATGACGGAAGAAGGTTTTGGTTCCCTTCCCAAATCGAACCCGCAGGCATCGACCGTAGTGATGGAAAGCGGCCGGATGTAGTTACCATTTTCCCTTTTAAAATGGGGAAGTCGTTGATTTGGGATGCGACCTGTGCGGATATATTTTCGGTCGGTAATTTGATCAGGTCCGCGGTTGAGCCGGGGTCCGTCGCCCGGGACTCAGAGATAAAAAAGAATAGTTAAATATTCTTCTGTTGTTGATAGATTTTTTTTTTACTCCTGTAGCGGTGGAGACTTCAGGGTTTATTGACCCTCGTTCGATGGCGTTCCTTCGGAGGATTGGCGCGATTGCGTCTCGATTAAGGGACGAGCCTCATGAAACGGAGTGGCTCTTGCAGCGTGTCTCACTGGCGATGGTTCGAGGTAATGCTTTCTCCATTATTGCGGCTGGCAGAGGATAGAAAAAAATTGTTTATAGTTACTTTGTTCAAATTTTTTTCAATAAATAATTTTTATTATTAAAAATTTGGTGAAACTGGAAGTAAATTTAATTCCCAATGACGTCTTAAAGGACATGATCAGCTTAGAAGTAATTAAACTCTTGGATAGATATTTATGTATAAAAATACAATTATAGCACAAGGCCGAAAAAGGGGAGGGTTGAGTTTGATCTTCACTAATTATTTTATAGCTAGCTAATCCGATTCACGACCCATTCACTCATTACAATTTGCCCATTCAAAAAACTTGTCCGTCGCTAACCAATCCTCCATACACCATAATACCACATCCTCTCAATGGGGAGCCTACAAAATGCGCCCCATGCCATAAAAATTTAATGATAATAAACTATATATACAATTCTAAAGATGAAAAAGGAGAAGGAAGGGAGATGGACCAAGTAACAAACTAAAAATGAACACAAAGTGAACTAAATATAATTGATGTTAGTAGGGCCCGTCCAACCCTCAAGAAGGAGAGCGGCCGCTGTATTCTGCCCATGGGAAAGAAAAAGCTGGCCCAGTCGAGATAAAAAGGGGCTAAAACAAACTGGGGAGGTTGGGAATCTCAACATGGATCATAACCAAAGATGCAGATGGGAACAGGCCAGGAACAACACTTACTCCCATTAACTAGGTACGCAAAAAGCTTGTCTAACCTAACCAAGGGAAGTGTTCCACAGGAATCCACCTCGATGTGACGTAGGTTGATCTAAAAGAGAAAATCAAAGCTTGCCCCGTTCAAACGAACCAAGCTCGCCTCAGTCACCCACCTTTCGCTAAAGACTGTCGAATGCAAGCGTTTTCTATCAGTTCTAATCTTCATCTTGATCTGATGCTCAAAGAATCGGATTATATCTTGATGAGAAAGACACGCAAGACTTCCTCTTGGATATGAGATAAAGTCGACATCGATACCTGATCAAGTTTTTCTCGTGATACTCTGCGGTCTGCATCAATTGAAACCTCGCTATTAAGACTGCATTAACTCCTCCCTTGGCTGTTAATTTTGTATTGCCTTATCACAACCTTTTATTCATCTCTCTTGTCTAACGTTTGGGGTCTTCCGCAGTTTCTTTCGACTTCTAGAAGTAGCGGGACGTCTTTTGGATGATTTAAACACTGGTCCTTGAAACTCCTATTTGCAGAGTTGTTTCGATTTGATTCATCTTCTCCTTCAAAGTCACAACTTTCTTCTTCCTTTCAGTTTTGAATTGCCTTTTATTTTTTGGAGCTTCAAGCTGCACAAAACGGCGAATCTCTAGCAATACGGCACCTCTACGAAAAGGCAACAACTTATTTTCTAATCCGCTGCATCCACAGACACGACTGCAAAACAACGTGAACTTCTTAATTAAATAAAAGGTGTTTAATCAATTGATGGAGTTGGACAGATAAAATTAAAATTTTTAGATCAAATGAGATAGATAGGATAGATAGATTTAGATAGATAGATAGATAGATAGATAGATAGATAGATAGATAGATAGATAGATAGATTTGATCAAACTGAGATAGATAAATAGATAGATAGATTTGATAGGCTGAGATAGATGATAGATAGATAGATAGATAGACTGATAGATAGATAGATAGATTTGATCAATTTGAGATAGATAAATAGATAGCATGGAATAATAATACAAGATAAAATAGATAGATATAGATAGAAGATAAATGATAGATGAAAGATAGATAGAAAGATAGATAATTTTTAAATGAGATAGTCTTTTAGATAGATAGATTTTCAGGCTGAGATAGGAATAGATGTAGATGGAGAATAGATAGATAGAATAGATACTTTGATCGCATTGAGATAGATAGATAGATAGATAGATAGATAGAAGAATAGATAGATAGATTTGATCATTCCTTTAAATAGATAGATAGATTTGATCCAACTGAGATAGATAGATTATATGGTAGATAGATAGATAGATATAGCATTTGATCAAACTGAGATAGATAAATAGATAGATAGATTTGACTGAGATAGATAGATAGATAGATAGATAGATAGATAGATAGATAGATAGATAGATAGATTTGATAGATAGATAGATAATAGGTTGAATAGATTTGATCAGGCTGAGAGATAGATCGATAGATAGATAGATAGATGATAGATAGATAGATAATTTTGATCAAATGAGATAGATTAGATAGATAGATTTGATCAGGCTGAGATAGATAGATAGATAGATAGATAGATAGATAGATAGATAGATAGATAGATTTGATCAAACTGAGATAGATAAATAGATAGATAGATTTGATCAGGCTGAGATAGATAGATAGATAGATAGATAGATAGATAGATAGATAGATAGATAGATAGAATAGATAGATTTGATCAGGCTGAGATAGATAGATAGATAGATACATGGAATGAGAAGATATTTAATCAGATGGGATAGATAGATAGATAGATCGATAGATAGATTTGATAGATAGATAGAGGATAGATAGATAGATATCGATAGATAGATATCGATAGATAGATGATAGAATGATATTTATATTTAATCAGACTGGGATAGATAGATAGATAGATAGATAGATAGATAGATAGATAGATAGATAGATAGATAGATAGATAGCGTTGTCAGGGAAGGACGTGAGAGACAAGTAGCTGACTAATCAATACGTAAAATATACCTACTAAATTACAGGTTATTCTGTGTTAGTACTTTTAATAACCTGAGAAACATCCTAATAATGCAATAATATCACACCTTGATAGGGCAACACTTGGGGTGTGTACTGGGTGGAGTGTAATATGCTGAGTTAGGATAGGGTATGAATTAAACGCTGGTGACTGATGTTAGGGTTGGCACCCAGCCGAAACTTTTCTGCGACCCATAAAGAGAACACACAGCACCCTGGAAAACAAGAAACGTGACGCCCGACTGTAGCATGCCGTGATCATTACCGACAGTCTTATGTGTCTTTCCCTCCCCAGAGGAATTTCTGTAAACGATTTCCCGCCAAAGATTTTCCCACGCTCTCATTAAATGCGGTTTTGCCTGTGATGAAAAGACACGCGTGTAATACATAAAGATAATACAAACACGAAAATGTACGTAGATATAAGCTATACCACATGCTTATATGCATTCACACGGGCATTGAAACATAAAAGTGTATATTTTAATAAGGCAAGAAGGTAATTATATATTCTGCAAACTTTATATTTTGCTTTCGTTATTTTCTTTATTAATTATATATATATATATATATATATATATATATATATATATATAGTCTTAGTTTTTTGTACTATATTTATGGGATAAAGTCCTCAATATCTTGAGATAGAACGTTTGCAAATATAAAAATGAAGATTTAGTCAACACTTGATATATCATCTGTTTATATTTAGACGCAATCGTCAGGAGTGTTGTTTTTGTGTCTGACGATTGCGTCTAGCATGAAACATACTGTTTTCTAAGTGTTGACTACAATGTTAAATATATATCTTATGTGTGTTTTTGTGTGTGTGTGTGTGTGTGTGTGTTTTAAGCAAAATTTCTTTTTAGGCATGTCTGATTGAATAAATTACAGACATTATGTCTGCTAATTTTTTTTTAAAAAATCCGTTCATACTCACGAATAACATTCCTGTATTGATGTTAAAGGATGAGAGAAATGGCTATAGCTGTTTAAATTTTTTTTTCGTTTTATTTCCCAAGTACTTTCGATTTTTTCCAAGATCATTTTCAGGGGACCCAATTTCAAAACTATATGTTATTCGTTAATATTAATTTGAGAAAAAAAATAATGGATAATTTTTTTTATTTTTTCATCACATTGTCAACCGTTTTGCATTGAAAAAACATAATGAAAAATTATTTTAAATGAATAACAACGCAACTTTGTATAAATACTTATATTAATGAACAATAAATAGTTTTTACATATATATATATATATATATATATATATATATATATATATTATATTATATATATGATTTCTATTATTCTTCGCTACATAAGAGTTCTCATGTTTCAAAAAAAAAAGCCAAAAAAATTGTAGATGTAATGTTTATGTAAAAATAACCCTTTGGAAAAAAAGAATTTTTAGACGCTTAATACGAAACAGTTATCTGTCGCTGTTCATGGGACCAGACGATGTGCGTAATGAATAAAATGATTTAGCTTTTTCAAAATGGACGAGATTGGTCTTGCCTCGGCTTGACCTCTTTTCGAAGGTGATGATGTGTTGATATAAATTGTTAACTCTTATATTTATATTATCGGAATTGTAAAATCCAGCCTTTTCCATGTAATTAATTTTACGAATGAACATGTTTATAAAGATGCGTAAATTTCAAGATTAGTTATTTCTAAATTTTCGCTTGAGGATGAAACAGGGCTTGATACTTTAATTCAATTTAATTTTAATGATTATATTGAGGTTACGAAAATGTTTTAGGAAACATGAGAACTATTATAAAATGAAGGAATCATTTTTTTTTTAAATAATTATAATTTAAGCTCTACTTATGTATGGAGCACTGTTTTTTTTTTTTTGTTTTTTTTTTTTTTTATTTTTATTTACCTAACGTGTGATTTTCCTATCCATTATATATATATAACACACACACACACACACACACACACACACACACACACAAGGGGTGTACAAAACACACACATAAAATAAATTTTAATGATTACCTATTTTTTTCTTTATGTGATTTCAGGCATTATAAAAAATCAGTTAACAAATGTTTTCCGTGAACTGCAAAATGGTATTACCCTTTGTATTGCTAATGATGGAGGATATGGAAATTAAATAAAATTTCAATAAAGCTTTAAAAAATATAGATTTACTTCTTTTCTAATCCTTTTTATAAATTATTTCTATCGCAAATACAAATAAAGTTATGTTTTTATTAATTGTTCGTGGACACCCTGTATATGTATATATATATATATATATATATATATATATATATATATATATATATATATATATATATATCAAAAATACATTTTACAAATTTTGGGGGAAGGTTCTCACCAAAAACAAGGACAAATGTCTATATAAACATATATCCACAAATCCAATTTTCTTCAGTTAAGATGAAAGTTTACGGTAGACGTTTTTATGGACTTTTACAAAATATTAAAAAGAAAGTCAACACGTCTACAAGCAATGTAGACGTGTTGAATTGTCAGACCGTTAACTGGTTAGTTAAAAGATTATGTCGACGTTAATAAAGTGGATAAGTTAATTCTTTGTAAAAAGTTCTTTTATTTCTGAAGTGAAACAATTAATAAAAACAATTATTTTGAAAGAAAATTTTATTATCGGATGGAGACTGTCGACCAAAACTTCCCCACCATGAAGGAGGGGGGGACTTTACAACAACCTTAAGCTCCTTAGCAATGGCATTAATTGAATTCTAGGCTTCTTATCGTTAATTTTCTAAACCTTTCAGTGTTCTTATGCTATTAGAACCCTTAGCAGGGGTTTTGGCTATATAGATGCTGATTTTCAATATGAGACATTTAGAACGAAAATTAATATATATGATATACACAAGAAAGAGAGGGAAATTGAAAGAAATAGATATATATAGAAATATATAGAGAGAGAAAGAGACAGAGAGAGAGAGAGAGGGAGAGAGAGGCCCCCACTGGCTTGTTAGAAGATGTATATGTCGACGTTAATAAACTAGCTAAGTTAAAATTCCCTGTACTAAATTACTTTAATCTCTGAACTGTAAACAACTAATGAAAACAATGGCCGTGAAAGAAGAATTCAACTTTATTATCGGATGGAGACTGTCGACCAAAACTTCTCCAGCATGAAGGGGGGAATTATAAAACAACTTTAAGGTCCTTAGCAATCGCATCACTCCTTACCCCAGGAGTTTTATGTTTAGCTCTTGCTGTACGATCTCGTCAACGGCATCTGAGACATTTAGAACGAAAATTATGGTAAAAAAGTCAGGGTTTTTATTATACATAAAGACGGGTTTTCAGAAGTTTTTTATTTCTTATTTGAAACAGCAAGATTGCCTTATCGTAATATCCAGCACGCAAAGCCTGTCGGCCGGATCTGCAAAGACAAGAGCACACGTCGCGTTCAAAGACTTGCTTACCAGTCAGGAATCTCGTCTCGCGCGACTACAAAAACATGCTGAATAGAGGGAAAGCCACATAGAAAATATAATCACGAATTTAAAATGACTGAACCAAACAAACAACCCCGAGACTCTGAAGGACACTTATTTGAGATCAACCTCAGCCTGAAAATTTATACAAAAGCTAACCATTGTCATTATCAGACCGATTAGGGTTGCACTGAACATGGCCGGGGTGAGAACACCGACGGCCTGCTCCATTGAACCTATTCTTATCTCAATATTGGAGTACTATCATGAGACAGGCCATTAATGTCCGAGTGAAATGCTAATTTCAATGCCCTGTAAGAGGAGGGGTGAACTAAATGCGGAAACCTCCCAGAGCAAATCTGTTTTATTTTGGGGGGAATTTGCATTATTATAAAACGCTATTAGGGGAAATATTCCAAAAGTATTGTACGCTTCATCCACCAATGCTCCAAATGTGTTGGCCACCCTGACGAGATTTTGCAACTGTTAATATTCTATCTACATTGGAGAAATATCTCGAGTCTTCAATGTCTAAACCATTTAGACTTTTGAAATTAATTAGGAATTTCAGATCTTTAATTTCCCTCCATTAAATTTATGCCTTCTTTTCTTGAGCGTTCGAACCCGTCACACGTCTTTATGTTATAAATGAGTTTAGACTTTTTTTTAGGCATTCGCTGCAAAGTTTCTCAAATATAAGTTGATAAATGATTCCATTTTTTTTTTTTTTCAATAACTCTAAGAGTTCTTTAGGTGATTTTTCACTCATGCTAATTCTGGTGTTTCAAACTATGAATATATATATATATATATATATATATATATATATATATATATATATATATAGCCAGAGAAAATATTTAGGTTTTCACCTAAACGGATCGTCAGGGAAAGTTTGGCCAAACTTTCCCTGACGATCCGTTTAGGTGAAACCCAGGTAGGTTTGTCTGGCTCACTAGGTGTATCTAGGTCTGCTCTACGGTTGTATTGAGCTCTTTTGTTAGTTAGTTGTTACTCGTATCGGGGTTTTTTCTTTGGGCTTCAGACCTGCATCTGTGCGATTTTTTTTTCGGCAGAAGTTCATGTTTGTAGCTCTTTCTTTTTTAAAAACTTTTTTTTCCTCGAGATTGATTTGATTAGCAAATCAAAAATTCGAGGGTTTTTCGAAACGAGTCTAGTTATCTATATTTATATGTATATATATATATATATATATATATATATGGATTGATTTTGTGACCTAGGTTTCAAAGCTTTA